ATATATATATATAGGGCCCTCCCTGGTGGCGCAGAGGGTAAAAGCACAGCACTGAGAAGCTTAAGCCACCTCCACATGCGTTTGATTCCCGCTTCCCCGGGAGGAGATCCACACTGCGAGACAGACCTCTCCTGCCTCGCCCGCTGCTCCCCTCAGCAGTGTACTTCCTCCATCTGCCTGTTCTGCTCCCCGCTCTCTCTGGTGAATCCTCTCAGCCTCCGCATCTCTGGCCTGTACCCCAGTTCTATGTGAATAAATAAATCTTTAAATATATATATATATATGAAAAATCATGATTTATTCTTTTTGTTGTTGTTAAAGATTGATTTATTTACGCATGCAAGAACTGGTACAGGCCAGAGGTGTGGGGGATGGGTGAGAGATTTCACCAGAAACAGAGTTGGGAGCAGAACAGGCAGATCCACTGAAAAACCCTGCGGAGGGGAGCAGCAGATAGGTCAGGAGAGGTCTGTCACACCATGGCCATGTGAGTCACCTCCCTGTCTGGGAATCGAATTCATGCTGCAGTGCCTAAGGAGAGCTTCATAGTGCTGCGCTTTAACCCACTGCGCCACCAGGGAGTTCCACTAAAGGTTATAAATCTTAAAAATATGTTCAAATGCTTTTCCTCTGTGGCTGCCTGAAGAGCCACCGCCATCATGAATGACACAGTAACTATCCGGACTAGGAAATTCATGACCAACCGACTGCTTCAGCGGAAACAAATGGTCATTGATGTCCTTCACCCTGGAAAGGCTACAGTACCTAAGACAGAAATTCGGGAAAAACTAGCGAAAATGTACAAGACCACCCCTGATGTCATCTTTGTATTTGGATTCAGAACCCATTTTGGAGGTGGCAAGACAACTGGCTTTGGCATGATTTATGATTCCTTGGATTATGCAAAGAAAAATGAACCCAAACATAGACTTGCAAGACATGGCCTGTATGAGAAGAAAAAGACCTCAAGAAAACAGCGAAAGGAACGCAAGAACAGAATGAAGAAAGTCAGGGGGACTGCAAAGGCCAATGTTGGTGCTGGCAAAAAGTGAGCTGGAGATTGGACAACAGAAGGAGTAAAGATTCTACAGTGACTTTGTCTGTATCTGTGGTGATTGTGCAGATTTTTCATGAGGATTAATAAATAAAACCTTTTATGTGTCTGACTGAAAAAAATATATATATGTTCAAATGGCCCTCCCTGGTGGCACAGTGGGTTAAAACACAGCACTAAGAGACTAAGGCCACTTCCGCATGAGTTCGATCCCCGCCTGCCCCGGAGGTGACCACATGGCTGGCAGACCTCTCTTGACCCACCCGCTGCTCTCCTCAGCAGTGTACTTCATCAATCTGCCTGTTCTGCTCCCCACTCTGTCTCTGGTGAATCCTCTCACCCTCCACCTCTCTGGCCTGTACCCCAGTTCTATATGAAAAAATAAATAAATCTTTAAAAAAAATGTTCAAATGGGTAAACTGGTGAAAAAAATGTATAACCTTTATTAAGAACAGTTTATGGTTCACAGCAAAATTGAGCAGAAAGTACAAAAAACTCTGAAAAAAATCTCTATCTTGGCCCCTCCATGGTGGCTCAACTAATTAAAGCACAGCATTGTGAAGCTAGCCAAGCCACATCAGCATGAGATGGATCCTAGTCAGGGAGGTGACACAAATGGCACAGCAGACCTCTCCTGACCCACAAGCTGGCTGCTCCCCTCAGCAGTGTATTTCAGTGTGTTTCATCAATCTGCCTGTTCAGCAGTGTACTTCGTCAATCTGCTCACTCTGTTTCTGGTGAATCCTCTCACCGCCCCTGCACCTCTGGCCTATACACCAGTTCTGTATGCATAAGCAAATTTAAAAAAAAAAAAACCTGTCCAAGTTCCTTCCCCTGCCTCTGAAGATAGATAATAAGAGCCTAAAGTTTACTTGCAGAGATGAACCTTCTGGGATAGCTATGAAAACTCTGGGCAATGGAAATACTTAGGGACAGCTGAGGGGAGCTACAGATAGAGACTATTTTTACCAGATATTAAAAATAGTATACAACTTCCTAAATAAAACAGTGGGGCAGTAGTCCTTGAATAGACAGACAGATGAGTAAAACAATAAAAACTTAGAAATAGACCAATGTCTAGTACAGATTAATCCTTTAGAAAATAAATTCTGGCTTCATATTGTGAGAAAAATGCAGCCAGCAACTTACTATGTACCACATAAGCCAAAAAGTATAAAGATCACACATAAGTCAAAATCAAAACATAATAGATAAGAATACTTATAGAACTGTAATTCATCACATAATGTTCCATGTATTTTCAATGTATAAATTTAATTCGTTTTAATTTATTGAATCTTAGTGGTTTCACCTACTTGTAGGTGAAGGGAGTGCTAAAGCTAAGAGTAGAATTCATGTTTAATTTTATGAGTACTAAAATTAGAAGAATAGATATCCAAGTGCTCATAAAAAATATCTGTCCCTCTCTTAAAAGTGATTCAAGATAATTTCACAATGTACACAAACATTGGATCATTATGTTGTACACCTGATACCAATATAATGTTTGGTGTCAATTATTACTCAATTTAAAAAAATTTTAAAGGTGATTTTATATAGCCTTTCCTTTTGAGGTAATGAAAATTTTCTATAACTCTAGATAGTGGTGAGGTTCATACAACATTGTAAAAGTACCAAATGCCACTGAATGGTGTGTGTGTGTGTGTGTGTGTGTGTGTGTGTGTGTGTGTGTATATATATATATATATTCGGTGGCATATATATATGTATGTATATATATATGTATGTGTACATATATAATAGTTTATTTTTACATCATTTTGTGCATTTTTCCATCTCAGTGGCAATCCCCTTGGGCTTCCCATCACCAAATCACCCATGTGCCATCACCATAGTCCAGTGCATTTCTCTCCCTCCGCTGTTTTTGATCCCATTCCCTATTCCACCCCCACAAAATGTCTCTGGTATACAGCTGTTCATCATTATCATTATTTTCTCACCTGTTCCATTATTGAATGGTATATTTTAATAAGGAAAAATGGTGAATTGTTTTTAAATGATGCTAGAATTTATAAAAAATGGTGCCTGAGACAAAATTCATCCCTCCTTTTATTTATAACAGGTTATTTTTTTAAATGAGTTTTATGCTACAATTATGATTATAAATTGAGACCATTTTTAACATATTTTGCATTTCTTCTGAACAGAATCAACCTTATTTGATAAACTGGTTATGATATAAGTTTCTCCAATCTTAAATATTAAATGGCAAAAACTAAGCTGTTAATAAAGCCATCCTTGGAGGAACAGTTCCTGTTTTAAGAGAGAGTCAGTAAAAATTTATAGCTGGAAAGAGCTTTAAAGATCTCTTATTTCAGTCTACTCACTTTCAAATAAACAAACAGATAAATGTGTATGGCTAAGACTTATGAGTAACATCTTTTAGGTGAACCTGATTTGTTTAATCATCAGTAGGTAAGAGTATTTGTCTCTTGAGAATATGATAATTAATACTATTTCTATTTATCACTTCAATACACTGCTCAACAATTACCTATTTTTTTCCTCTACTGATTTGCTTAAGAACATAAGAGTTACAAGCTTCGGCTTAGGTAAAGGGGAAGAGGAAATGTAAAGAGCTCTGCTCTGGGGTAATGACCACTAGCCTACAGTTTGAAATTGAGCTGAAAAAGCCCAGAATCTTCCCTTCCTTTGGGATATCCACAAATCACTGAAACAAGACAACACAAATGACTGAAACAAGACAGGAAATAGGACAGGTACCTTCATAAAATTGTAAGAAATCCATGTTTGGGTGAAAATTGCTATAAAAACAATAAAGGGAAGACAAATCCTAGAAAAGGCTACAAATGATCAAAGGAATCTATAAATGAGAATTTTATGAGTCTAGACTGAGGAAGCCAGGACAGTAAAATCCAGTAAATCAAAATAAGAGGATATATAATTAAGCTTCAAAAATTATCTAAAGAAACTGGTGGGATGAGTGTGAACTTGTTCATCCTGCTATTTAGAATTGGAAAGTTTGCTTTCAATCTTTGAGATTTGGGGGGGCAGCAGGGGAGGAAAAACATCATTTAGAGGATAGGAAAATGAACTTGTGGCCCCCTCACTGCCAATGTCTGTTCAGACATGACAGCCCAAGGAAAGAATAGTTAACAACCATTTCTCAAAAATATTTTATTTGAGAATATAACAAATTTAAGTATTTGGGTTTTGTTTTTCTTTTATTATTTTGATGGTTTTAGATCATCTAGAGATGTTCAAGAAGGTTTTTTTTTTTCATTCCTGAGTCAAAGCTTTAAAATGGGATACTAAAGAAGTTAAGGAGATTGTGCATACATCCCTGACACTGTTAAACATTGTGTGAGTGGCAAGTACATGCTGCTTCTTTAAGGGCAAAGACCACAGTTTATCTATCAATCTCTATCCTTCACAGTGCTCTACACCTTTCTTTGGGAGTTACAAATATTTGCTGAATAAATAAGTAAACACTACTTCAGCAAATGTTTTTTGATGACACCAGAGAGAAAATTTTAGACTTGAACAAATCCATTTCTTATTACACCCAATGCATAAGATGTCTTTTCAGAAAAATGTATGTTATATTCATCATTTTCAAAGTCTAGGGATTATATAAATAATTTGTTAGCTAACCCCACAATGAAATCTTATATTTTACCACATATTTTGCATAATGCTAACTCTGATATTGCTCATCAGAAATTAGAAACATAAAAATTTAAAATTCCATGAAAATCAAAGGTTATAAGTTCACTAACTGAAATTAAGTCTTTTCACAGTAATTTTGCCTTTTTTTTTGTTTCCAATAGGAGGATAGCAAAAGGCTACATCATTAGCATATCATAAAAACCTCATGTTTATTCAGTATACTTTGCCAAATTTAACAAAAGTCATATATAGGAGTCTTTAAAAGTTTCGTTTTTATTCAATTCTGCCCTCTATTCTTTTTTTTTTAAGTTAGTTCAATTTATGAAGTGACAATTTGTTTATGAAGCCTTATCCGGAATTATGTACTAATTGACATAATGAATTATGAAAACTATGGAGTTTTGATATAATTTGCTTTAAAAAATTATAATTCTAGTACCAAAGTAGTAGCTAGTTTTTTCTTTGAAGTAAGGGCACCATATGCATTTTAAAGGGCGAAGTGAGTATATATTTGCACAAAGACCCTAGTATTTGTATGTCAAACAACTTCCAAGACCTGCTTCATAGACAGTTGAATGTTAGATGACAGCAGGCATTCACTCAATAAATATTTATGGAGTAGATACCATATGCAGACACAATTTCAGGTAGTGGGAAAATTAGCAGTAAGCAACATAGACAAAAATTTCTGCTTGTGGAGTTTGCTTATGTACAAGGCTAAATCAGAATCCATTAATTAGTTCACACGTAGTAGGGGAGATAAGTGTAAGATTTATTTAAAATAGAAAATGTCTGGTAATACACAGATGAAGTACAATGTCAAATTCAAACTTAAAAACTTTGAAATTGGAGAAGGGAGAGATTATCTGCAGTCTCAAAATCAAGAAAACCTTCACAGAAAGTAATCACTTAATTGAAACCAATCTACAAAGTAACTGTTATTGAATAGTTGATACATAATTATTTTAAGTTTACTGTGTTACAAAATAAAAATAAAAGGAACAAAGAAAAACGGTTTAAGTTTAAAATATGAAGTGCATAAAGTGTCTACTTTTGAATGTGTCATGGACATGAAATACTTTTAACATGAAAAAAATAATAGTTCACGAATTAAAAGGACAAACCCTTCCCCCAATTTGGTTGCCTTCCTATTTTCAAATAATTATTAGTTCTGATTTTAGACTATATTAATTTTTCTCATTGAAAATATATTTCAAAACTTGCAGTCGAATAAAAGTTTTATAAAATAAAAATCTCACATTCTATTTATTATTTATAAAGAAAGCACAGAAAAGTCAGACTAAATGGTTTTTAATCTTATAAGCACTTAGAGAATAAATTAAATATGCTACATATCTTTTTTACTAAGTTACCACTTACAGTCTTAATTCACTTTTACATAATAAAATCTGTTAACGAAATATTCTTTCATTTTGCTTAGATTCTGAAAATTTTA